AAGGGACACAGAATTCAAAGATCTGAAGCGAAACGACGCGACGCGACGCGACAAGACGCGACAAGACGAGACAAGACAAGACGCGACACGACACGATTCTGTCGGTGACCGTGCGTGGCAGAACGGATGAACCGACGTGACTTGTGATTGATGGCCACGCGAAGAACCCGTTGTGTAAACATATTATGAACGTATCCTTAATGACTCCCGGTGAGGGTTTTCTCCCGAAGAGCATTCACGAAACGTTTCGCAGACGCTTGGTTCGCAAGCTACGCGCGTTGTCGCGAACCGCACAGCAGAAATAACAAAAGAGCCGTCGGTTCAGCGTCATTCGAGAGGATGGCATCGTTTCAATCGGTTTCGCGTCAATTCAAATTCGTGCATGCCGTTTGATGTACCGAAACAAATAACCACAACGGCCGAATAAATTGCTAACGAACCGCTGCTCGAGAAAGAATTCTGAACGCGTCCGGAATGCTTCCCGATTTCGGTTCGATCGTAATTCGAAATCTTAAGGATTAATGCGTGGGATGGTTCAGAAGAGAAGGTTCAAGTCCGTTTCCGTTTATTCGATTCCGCAATTGTCTAAGAAGGCGTTCGAGCGAAGGACATTGAACGAGCGCAAAGGACACGTAGAATCCGAGCCGAAAAACACGTATAAGGGAAGGGAAAGGAAAAGAAGAGTAGGAGAAAGGGGGAACACGTTGCGTTTCGAAGTAACCGGTGCAAGGGTAGAGTTTTCGGATGTAGAGAGAGAGAGAGAGAGAGAGAGAGAGACCGCGTCGATCGGTGACGCGTGACGGCGCCGGCGATAAAAACGGTCGACCGCTCATCTTCGGTTGTTCTTTCATCTTTTTCGTAGGTGTCGGCGCAACTTGCCCCCGTGAAACTGAACCTCTGCTTTACGAGGGTTAGGTGTCATTGCGCTGCTGGTGGCACTCGAGTTCGCGAAAACCGGTCCCCCTCAAAGAGCTTACAGAGTCTTTTAACGCGCTCGAAAAGGCGTTTTCTCGATAACTGGAGCAGCAAAGCGACACGTCGCTCCGTTGCCGTCTGCGCTCCGACGATAGATCGAAAGTCGCGAACGCGGAGCGCCGTAAACCGGCTTCTTACGTTCGAGCGCAGTTTGAGGCGTGCAGTTAAAACTGATTTAGAAATCGGGGGTTCGAGGGAAACCTCGAGGAAGCGCAACCTTTTCGAGAGGATCGTTTTATGCGGCGAGGGGGAACGACGAGCAACCACCGGCTGCGCGACCCGAAGACCTCCTAAGATGCATCTGGAGTTTTTCACTTTTCCGTCGTATCGCTGGTTCCTCCGTTTCCCTCTTTTCTTCGAACGATTCGACGTATTTCGGGCAGCTCGTCGAACCTACCGTGCGGTATATTCGATAAACGACATAGACAGGCGCGAGCCCTCCTAGATCGCGGGGCGATTAGAAAGACGACGAATCGCTCCGTAGCCACGGAACACCGCGTAAAACCAACACCGCGGTGATGGACAGCGTTTCAAAGGACGCGACCGCTTAATAAATCTCTCCAATTTTCCGCTGGTCGTCCGATGGCTACGGATCAAAGACCGACAAATGAATCGTTTGCTAAATAGAAGAAAAAAAGGAGCCGAGGAATGGAAGAAAAAGATGGAAAGTTTGCGCGAACGTGCACGCGCACGTGCACGGATGCGTGGATGCGTGGACGCGCGGATGCGTGGATGCGTGAATGCGTGAATTGGTGAACGCGCGCGTGTATCCGTAAACTGAAACATCTCGGGGGTGAGGTATTGCGTTATCCTACGAGCCGTGAATCTGTCATCGTCGGCTACCAAAGGAAATACCGTGGGTATGCGGTGCGACGAGTACCGCTTTTATAGTTTTCACGCAGCCGAGAGCTACCGACCGCTCTTCGAACCTTCCACCGAAACTGTTTTTCGCTCCCCGTTCACTGACTCATTCGAGCGCTCCTGTAAATACAAATATGCGGAGTCTTTAATTTTTTCGAAGCAACGCGCAAACAAATGGATCCTTTGCAAGAAAATCTCCGAAACGATCCTCGTCGCACCGACGAGACTAACGCTTTCGAAAATCGACAGAAATTTGTTGAACCGTAGAAGAGAAGGAAAAGAGCAATTGTTATTTCGAGACGTAAGAATGGGTGAAAAACGAGAAGAAGAAGAGAATGAACGTTGACGCGCGCGTTCGCGCGTTCGCGCGTTCGCGCGTGTGTGCGCCCGAAAGAAGGAAAGAGAGGAAGAGAGATGCTTCCGTTTCGATGTAAAGATCTCGAAAGAAGAGGAGCGGGCAGATCTACGTCGGTAACGCATACGACGAGCAGAAGTTCATATCCTGCGGTACCAGCCGCACGAATATGGCTGCAATGACAGATTTACAGATTCCAGCCATCGGGTTGCTCGCTTCTTTGGGATTCTTAAAGTGTACGTTTAACGAGAGAGAGATGCGCTTTGGATGGTCGGAGTGCGCGTCAAATCGCACCTCGACTGTTTATGCTTTACGTCCGCAACCTTCGTCTCCGTATACTTCTTAAACGTCTTTTTCTTTCTCCTCCTCGTCATCGTTCTCCGCCATCCCCATTCTCTCTCTCTCTCTCTCTCTCTCTCTCTCTCTCTGCTCTCCTTCTTTCTTCCCTCTTCTCGTTCTTGGCGACGCGATCGCATCCTTTTCTTAGAGCTCGCGGCTCGCGGTTTCTTCGACACTGATATTCACTCGC